AGGGCGAGGGCGGTGAAACTGCATGCGAGGAAACTGCGCCAACCGCCATGTTACGCAGGCTATGCAAAAATTGAAAGAACGTGCAGAATAGCAAAACGTATTGTCTCCCCAGTGACAGGACGGGCCTGCAAATTACACTGTAAAATTCGACTAGTTAAGATGACTATTTTAAATGGTTGTAACTAATAACAATAGTCATTGTAACCATTCTTAACAGTCGAAATTTTCAGCGAAAGAAAATTGTTGAAATAACCTGGCATAATACGTGGTTTTAACCATTGAGGTTGGTTGTGATAACTGACTATTCTGATTAGTGTAAACGACCAAAATCATTCAGTCGTGCATATGTACTTTAGTTTTTTCAACTCCTTTCATCTTTGTTTTTCTCTGTTTCCTGTTTGTGGTCTCATGTTTGTCAATTGAAGTGATGACGTAAGATAAAGAAACTTTATTATTTTAACTATTATTTTCAGTAATAGATGTCATAGATTACACGCTCCAATCCGAAATTTCTATGACAGATATTAGTGTTTGATTTAAATAACCATTGAAATAAATTAATTCAACTAGTACTATGGGTGGTAAAATGACATTTTTAAAAATCAGTCAAAACTACGACAAAGCGTTAAAACAACAACAAAGGGTTAAGCTAAAATAGAACAAGACTATGCTTTACAATCCTTTACACTATTAAGATGACTTAAAGGTTGACTTATACAACAGTAAATATTGTGACTGCTGACAACAACTATCCTTCTTTGATGCAACCGACGGTACATTGAACAAAGCATGACTTCAATTAGTTGACAGGGATCTGATTAACTGCCTCGTCCCCAGTTGCCTGCGATCACTGGGGGATATTTGAGTTAATAGGTAGTTTACGCAATGACTACGGCGACGGCAACGGCAACGAGAACGGCAAAAAGCAACAGGTTTAGACAAGCAAAACAACAACTTTGCACGTGCATCACGATTTTTTGTACATTCTCTGCCGTCGTTGCACGACTACAACGTGAAACTGCCGAATTTCACGTTTTGTCGAGGACGGGAACAAAAGACAACAACTTTCTTTTTCTTCTCCCGAACTTGGTTGCAGTCCTTTAGAATTCAACTCCAAAAAGATTTGCCATCATTTGACGAATTAAACGAGATGGAATAAGCGCGATTAAGTTTGAGGCAGCGCAAATTCACTTGCTAAGTGACGTTTTCGTAGCTGTCGCCGTCGAGCGCTGACGATCACTTCCCGCTCGCGTTCTACGCTCGTTCCCATTATCCCTCTCTCGCGCTTCTCGCTTGTCTCGCGGGCTCGTTCCCCAATCCCCACTTAGCCTTGGGAGAGCCCGTGGAGTGGAGAAGGCAGTCTGATTATTAGAGACCTTTAGATTGGGGGACGAGAAAGATTTCGAGTACAAGATTTCATTTAAAGTTTTTTTCGCGTATTGTCAAAAAATATACACCACGGAATTCTTCATTGTACTTTTTTTTTCACCGGATAAGTTAGCACTGTTATCGTTATTGAAGGATGTTAAGACCTCTCCCGATTGCAAAATGCTAAGAGTTCTAACTTCATGATTTGATATCTTGTTCTCGCCACTACGACATTCTCGCTAAAACTCGTAGTAAAATGACGACGACTACCACGTTTTCCCGCCAAATTGACTCTGGTTCACGCATGCGCACTACTTACTATTGAGAAAATCTAGTATTCGTAGTCGTCCTCGTCAGTTCTCGTCTTAGAATCTAAAGCTCTCTAATGTCAATGTGGTTCCTATCTTTTCTGAAAACTGTAACACCATCTTTTCTTGTTGTTGTTGTTTTTTTCGCCTTTTAATATATTTCGCCTCTCATTTCGTATTATCGTTTCTGGCTCACAGTTCAAGTAAAGGAAATTTACACTCAACTTGAATTTCGCGAGTTTCTGAGGCTCCGTGAATTTGAAGATTTTGAGTCAACATCTCCATAGATTACAAGTTAATAACGATATATAAAGGCCGAATGTTATAGCAAGGGATGATAGAGGCTCTTACTGATTGCTTAGGATAGAGTTAATGAAACCATTCAAAGATTACGCTGACGCATTTCGAGGTGAGTACAATTTCGATATAATTTGTGAGGTTGAGGTAATAACTATAGCCTGGTCCTGGGTTTCTTCTTCAGGCTTTTGAAGTATTGTTTTACCGTGCTGTAAGACCTGCGAGCAGTTTTCCTACCATCTGAAATCTCAAAACAAAGCAAGCGCTGCGAACAGTCTCTCTTTTGCTCGAAAATCTGTGACGGAGGGGTATAGCCTATTGTTGGGTTGAAGTTAAACCCCTCCATTGCGCTTAAAAGTTTTGCTTACCCTCCCAGAAAAATTAGCCCGAGAGGAGACGGATGTAAAGGAGAATTAGGATCATAGAATTAGAGAAATACCCCCAACTGAATAGTTTTTTGTGAATTACCGACTACCTTTGGTGGTTCGTAATAGCTTTTAGCGCCAAAATGTCAACAGCGAAGACTGCATTTTTATTGCCATGTGTCATGCCTTAGAAGATTTGAAAAACAATATTATTAATATTGACCAGAGAATCATGGGTAAAACAGAAGTCAGATGATATATATATACATATATTTTTATTTTAAACTACTTGTAGGGCTGAATTGTTCATAAATGGACTAAATTTTTCCAGTGTCGGTGTATTTTCGATTCCTTTGTCTTGAGTACATGACTTTCTGTGAATGTAACGGTTAAATAGAAAATGAAGTGTGCTAAGGGTTGAAGAAGGGCTTAAAGGAGCTGTGTCACGAAATTCAGCAATAGTAGGAAATTACAAAATGCCCGTTAAGTTAAGAGAAACATAAAAATAACCGCTTAAAACTTTAAAGGAAGGTTAAAATAACATAAGAGAAACAACATCTGCCACGGATGGGCAAAACTGAAGAAGACTGAAGGGGATTGAAATTAGGGTTTTTGAAAACTGTTCAGCCTAACAGTTTTTCAAAGTTGATCCCTGTAGCTTGCAACTTCAAAAATAATGTTCAGGAGACATATTTGTTTGTCTCGGATCTCTGATTTTGTCATTTATCTGTAATTTCTTTGCTTTATTACTTTGAGTTCCATAGCGATTGAGGGCGAGTAATTGCCAAAATTAAACAAAATGAACTGGACTGCCGTGACACAGCCCCTTTAACTCCTAAGCTGCAGCAGAAGCCGTTGTTTTGTCAAGGCAAGATTTAATTACTTGCCCACTGGCAATTTCCTTGCTGAGGTTGTCACTTGGGGCAGCCTTGCTTAGGCCTTAATCTGCAGCTTGTGGGTTCTTGCTTTGTCTCTTGTCCCGGCACACATATTTGTAAATACTTTTCCATCAGTGATACCAAATTCAAAATTAATTACTATTTCAAATTAAACAATGTCTTGAGTTGAAACCTACGTGGACGCAACGTGCAGTCATCGAGTTCAGATCGACGTTCAGTGCTCGGTGAAATGAAAAAGAGAAAAAAAGGAGACAACGAACGAATCACATAAATCAAAAAAACTGTCGAATTATAGACTTCTTTATTCTGCTAGCAGTAATTTTAAAGAAGGAGATATTCCTAAAAGCATGTTAATTAAAGATATCTGCACCAGCAAATTTTCAAAGTTTTCTTTCGCGTTCAAATGTTTGTGCAGTGAGTTCATCGGTAATAAGCATAATCTAGTTTTTTCTTTCGAATTTATCTTCGCAATAATTAAGGGAAAATCTACTTGAAAGTTGACGATTTAATTACCGGAAGTTGAAGAAAAATTTTCATTTCTGTTTCTAAGAAAAAAGACTGCGGAAGACTGAATTAAGTTCTCTAGCTTGTGTACAGACGCCTCCTCCCCTCAAAAAAAACTTGGAGAGCGTGCATCTTTACACAGGTTACAAGTTCTCTTGACTGTCTCAACGAAATCAAACTATGCATGGATTCATTGAAATATTACCGCCGCGATATGCCTAACTTGATTTTCCTTTTCATGACATTGATTTTCCTTGTAGCCTGCGGTACCATCACGCTAGTCCTACTAGCACAAAAAGGACGATTGGTACGGTAATGGCTGCTATGGTCGTGGATGAAATGCTTGCTTCAGCAGTTGATGAAACTGTTTGAAAAATGAGAAGAGATGTTAAAGATAGCTAAAGATAGGTCTGATCTGATAAGACCAGTGGCGAGACTTTGAAAGGCCGGATAAGACCAGTGCTAAGACTTTGGTAAGTCTGATAAGACTGGTGGCAAAGCTTTTATAGGTCTGATAAGAACAGTATCATTTTGTAAGGTCCCTAATCTACTTTGGTACNCGATTGGTACGGTAATGGCTGCTATGGTCGTGGATGAAATGCTTGCTTCAGCAGTTGATGAAACTGTTTGAAAAATGAGAAGAGATGTTAAAGATAGCTAAAGATAGGTCTGATCTGATAAGACCAGTGGCGAGACTTTGAAAGGCCGGATAAGACCAGTGCTAAGACTTTGGTAAGTCTGATAAGACTGGTGGCAAAGCTTTTATAGGTCTGATAAGAACAGTATCATTTTGTAAGGTCCCTAATCTACTTTGGTACCTGGTGGTGGCGGTGTACTCGGTTTGGCGGTACTAGGCACTTTTGTAGGAAGAGCTGATGAAGGACAAAATACGAAAAATCGATTTAAGAGTATTTACAAACAACATACATGAAACCAAAAGCTCGAATTTACCGAAGAAAAAGTAAACAAGGCTGATTGTAAATCTTTGGGCAAAGATAAAAGTCGTTTTGAGCTGTCTGTGAAAGAGAATTGTTTAGTCTCAGTACTGTGGCGAAATAGCCTTCTCCGTTATAGTCTTTCTATCGCCGACAATGACAGTTTAGCTTTGTTGTATTTTGAGTGCAACTCTAAAGGTTTCTTAACTCTCTCTTTGTCATTGTTTGTGCTTTAATATTATTCACACAGTTTGATCAATTCTAAAGACAGAACGGTTGAAAATTCTAATTGTGTTGATTATGAATTGCTTCTTGCTCGGATATCTCTCTTTTATATAGGTAAATTTTGGTAAAAGGTGGCAGGGGAGTGGGTTAGCCCGTGCGCAGCCCCGTATTTTTCCGTAAGATCGTCGAGATCGAGCGCTTTACGTTCGCGGGCGGCCATCTTGGATGAGTGTCAAATCTAATTAGGGGGCGGGGAACGATTATAAGCCCCGACCCACGGCCCCTCAGTACATATGAAATTAAGATAGCCGTTTGTACTTGTAAACCCTCGATCTTGACGATCTTACGAAAAATAGGGGACTGTGAACAATCTGGGGGCGAGGGGGCGGTGAGGGTGGAATTGGCGAAATGGCGCTTCTTCTGTAGCTTTTCTTCTCCCCATGATGCCTCGTGTTCTCAAGTCTCCTCGCGCGTTTAGTTTGGATGATGATTACTCAAGATCCGTTTATATGGAGAAAAGTTGTCCCGAGTGGAGGGTCGCCCGCCTACCCGAGCTACCCTGAGCGAGCCACCTTTTCATACATTTCCTTACAAAACACGGCGAACTGTTAACATGCATAAGAAACAAAAGATTGGCCTGGCTAGTAGAGTGACCCGGGTCAATATTTTGTGATGGTAGAGTCGCATTCCTAATCGGGCCAACTTTTCTCCATATAAACACTTTTGCTCACCAAGCGGGGTCAACTCGGTGAAGGCGAGACAATCAGAGCATGCGCGAGCGCTGTTCGCTCGGGCAACCGGGTCAACTTTTTTTCTCATATACGCTCTTTAAAGTTGACTCGGTTAGGAGGGTGTCCCTCCTTCTCGCGGAGAACAAGTTTTCTCCATTTAAACGGAACCTAAGTTTCGAAGATTTTCTACAATTTACCTTGAAAACGCTCCCCTTCTACAGGTAACAGTAGGCAACTACTTTCATCGTAGGCGAAAATCTGCAAAAAGACATGGAAGTGATGAGATAATTCGGCGCTCTTTCCTTGTAAAAGGTGCATCTTCTTATAAGCCCGTACCCCGTACCGCCCCCCTCCGGCTATTGCTTTTATCCCGGGGGAGACATTCATAGCTACCTGCCGGAAGAATGATGCTACGGGAACTTTGTCTAGTCATGGTAGGATGGAAATAGGAGGGTCGACTACAGTCGAACCTGCTGCAACCGACCACCCAAAATGCGGAGGTTTACTGGTCGCTTACGGGAAGTGATCACTTACAAGAATCGCCACACAGGGAGTCTCTTCCGAGAGGAGGTCCCAGCACATCTACTTTTTGGCAGTGAATTCATTTCATGCAGTTTCTAAGTTGTGCATACGTGTAGTCTCATGTTGTTAGTGAAAGTTAAACTTCTTCGTATACCGAACAGAGAGACCACAACATGCGTCAAATGGTCGCTTACAATTAAGAGGTTAAAAACAATGGAAAACTAAAAAAGGCGTCAAAGAAAAAGTGATCGCGCTCGCTTATGAGAGGTGGTCGATTACGAGAAGTTATAATTATCGGGCTTTGGGTGAGAAAATCTTGGTGAACATTTTGTGTAGGTGGCCGCTTATGGGAGTTGGTCCCTTACAAGAGGTGGTCGCTCATGGAGAGTGGACTGTTTCGATTAAAACATCGATGAAGGACACTTGTTTAGCGACTACCAACAAACTAGCCACATTAATGAAAGAAAAATCTGTCGGGTAAGTGTTTCACCGGGCATCGTTAGTTTTAAGAGCTTTCTTGCGTACAATACTTACGACAAAGTGATGCCATTCTCCCTCTGTCAGATTTTGGAAAACAAAGCTTTGGACGGTTCTCTGCGAAAAATGAATTAAAAAAAGGCGTTCCAATTTTGACTGTTGAGTTCATATAACACATAAAAACCAGTATCCTATAACTTGGAGCAAGCAACTTCTACGTACTCGAGTCACGGCGTTTTATCTTCAGATCGATTCTGGCGCGAACTTAGAATATTATGTTTGTCCTACAAACCAGTCAGCGAAACCTAGAGACCTAGTTCTTCTTTTTGACATCCTATTCTCCGAATGCCCTCATTGAAGGAGCGGAACTTTTTATTTACACCGGAAAAAGTGCTCTACAATGTATCTAAAAATAAACCGCTAAGTGAAAACGGCCTATTATGGGAGTTGCGTACTCCTCATTATGGGCTCCTAATAAAAAAACCTGTTTAGCTCTACTTGTTTTGCTAGAAACTACCTTCAACTACAATTGCAATCCTCCAAGAAAGCTCTCAAATTAGAGAGCAAATACCCAATCACCCACTCAGACTGCCCCAAGTCGACAACTTACTCACAGGCTACACAGTTTTAGAGGTGTTTACCTCTACCAAGTAATGATTAGTTTACACGTTTAAGACATGTGACAAACTGTCACATTCCTTTAATCCATATTGATTATATTCCGTTTGGTTCACAATCGCTAGTTTGGAGAGAAAGACATTCACGTTTCTTTCGAAATTTTGAGTATTTCTCAGCAAACGAAAATGTTTGATAATGGAACAGCAAACTTTGGACGGGGACCGACCGGTTAAAGAGGACCACCTCTAAAGGTGGTCCACTTTTTCAGGAAAATTCTCCCCCGGACTGGCAATCGGGAAATTTCAACACGGGAATAAAAACAAAAGGAAATACGGTTTTTTTTTCTCGTCAAATAAGCGACGCGCTTTTGAACTGCAATTTTACCTCATAGTAAATCTTTTTAAAAACGTCTATAAAAGATCATAAAGAAAGGTTGAGCCGATTGCTAAAAAGAAGGATTTGATTAGTATGCATCGAGGAGCTCTTGTTAGCGGTTTTGTAAACATTTCGGTCTACTCAAACCGCTCGATAGATCTTTTTTAAAATCTGAGATTCTCGAGATTAACTGTCTTTTTACATGACCTTTGAGTTTCAAGATAATGGATATCTTGTAAGGCAGTAAAATAAGGGCTAAAATTCGCAAAGTTTTTGTCGGAAAAATTTCGTGTTTACAAGTGAGAACCTCTCATTATTCAGGGGTATTGTCTACAAGTTTCAGGTTCACGTGAACAGCGGTAACTAGCAATGCATTTGAAATATGCAGAAATGTTAGATATTGTTGTCCACGAAAATATGAAACTTGGAGACAATACCCCTTAATAATGAGAGGCTCCCACTAGTAAACACGAAATTTCCGACAAAAAATTGGCGAATTGTAGCCCTTATTTTTTTGGTCAAACTTGTGAGGTATTGACCTTGAAAAACCCCATCGAGCCACCTTATATCAGTGAGCAGCTTTTATGAAGGAAACGATTTTAAATTATGTTGAACTAAACAGCTTTTAAACATGTTTAAGCTTTGGAAGGAATGGGGCTTTAGTTTACCGGCCTTAGACCCTGTTTACATGGAGTGGGGGACCCCGGTTTAGTGGGGTAGGTTTCCTTTTGTTTTGTGTTCCCCAGAGCGTGAAAACAAAAGAAATCAACCCCACTAGACCGGGGTCCCCCACTCCATGTAAACAGGCCCTTACAGGGGCTGTGTAACTTTACGTAAACGTATATATCACTTGCAAACGACAAAATCACAACTTCTTGTCGAACAAATATACTTCCCAAGCATTGAATCGAACGTCACAAACAACAAAAAATGAACTTTGAAAAACTTTTAGGCTAACAAGTTTTCCAAAACCCATTTCAATCCGTTTTCATATTCTTCATAGACTGCGAGCGGTCTCTCCTTTTCTTCAGGTGCACGCGCGCGCGAGCGAAGAGCGGCGAAGCCGCGAGACGCCTCTCCTGTCTCGCGTCTCAAGTCACGCGCGTGGTCCTTTGCGTGTCTCGAGCGTTTTGCTCGACGGACCAAGAAAAAAGAGAGACTGCTCGTTGTCTATATTCTTCAACACTGAGTTTGTCCATCCAAACCAACTTTTGTATTTGTTGTGTTATCAATACCTTTTTAAAATGTTTTGAGCGATTATTTTCATGTTTCACTAAGTTTGGTGGAAGTTACTACTGCTAGAATTTTGATACAATTCGTGACACACAGCTTCTTCAAGAGACCACAGAATGGTTTAAGGAAGAATTTGCTAATAACAAATGACCTGCTTATTGGGAAAAAAGTGAAGTATCCGTTTCTTTAAAACAAGAAAAACCCCCTACCAATGGATCGGCAAGATGATCCTTAATCTGGTATCCTTGTAGTGCGGGACAGACACCACCAGGACATTCCTGCATTACCAACCTAGTATATAAGAAAACAAGCATCAGCAATCAGAATAGACGAGTTTCGTATTCCCGGAAGACCTAGGACGAGTGCTTGTTTTTGCGTCAAAGCGAGGCTAATGCGGGTCACTTCTCACCAAGAAGACAAACAAACACGAGAAAACTGCGGCTGAGTTGCTTTAAAAAAGGAAAATTTGAAACGTTGAAAGGTTTTGGAGGTCTCAAAACTTACTTACAGGCTTGAGAAATCATTGTTTCAAACAGCAAAACGAAAATCAGCTCGTCATCACTAGGAAAAACAACGAACCTCAGCCTAATCAATCGGCGCCGGAGTATGTTCAATGACAATGTGAAGGTGGTTTCAGAATCCTTAAACAAGGTAATACCCTGAAGCCATTTTAATTTTACTTTCAGTGATGGTTAAAAGTTCTTTAAGCCATACCTTCCATTGGAGTGTACGTACTTGTCGAAAGCCTGCATGACAGACTGCAACCTTCTTTAGAGCTGACATATTTTCTAACGGAACGAATGCAAAATCTTGTGTATTTGAAAAATAATAAACCGAGGGGGGCAGACGTCCTGCAAAAATTCCTTGCACTGTCATACAAGTTAAATCGGTTTAAACGAAGATGACTATTAAAATGGTGTAAGTTTATCGTACATATGCTTTCATTTAGGTTACATTATTTGTCAAGAACTCGAGCAGAATTTTTAATAATTATACAGAAGATATACTGAGCAGTTTAAACTCCATTTTACAGTGAGAGTAAAATAGAATACTAAGAAGTACGAAAATTAAAGGGAATAAAATAATGTCATTTAAACAAACTTTACCCTTTTCAAACTTAAAAAGTCTACTTCTTCTTTTGGCTTCGTCACTTTTTTTCCTTTCTTCCGTTAAGTACGATCAACTTTTCCCACAATTTCGTTGTTTGCAACAGATATCCCTTTGGCTTACTGGTAAAGTTTAAGCTTTGAAATCTCACTGTTTTAAGATTTCTATCGTTTTCCAGCGACTCAGCGCAAATTTTTGTTTTTGCAAACAAACAAGTTGACCAGCATTAGCCTGGCAGTCGTGCTCGTCCCATGGCCGTCGGGGAATACAAAACGTGCCTACTACCGAGCTCCAATTAGTAAAACGTCGTTTTCTTGGTTCTTGAAAAAGGCAATTTAAAACAAAATCAAACAAACAAACAAACAAGGGAAAGGAAAAGAAACGAAAAACAAACAAACAAGCAAAAAAAAAAAATTGATCTGTGAGGTTTGTGATTGGCTAAGAAATCGCGCGCCACCTTATGAACCAATAAGATTTTGGATCAAAACCGTTGTCGGCTTGTCGCGGCTGTTGTTAGGGACTGTGCAATAATTATCAGGAGTTGTGGGGGGGGGGGGG